GAGAAGTGGATTGAGAGAGCAAGGCCACAGTACACCGTACGATAGACTCATTTTCGTTTTTCTCTCCCCAGCTGCTGCGCTGGGGGTATCATTCTGCTAGACCTGTTGAAGAACAGAATACAAACTTATTGGGGCAATTGCTAGTTTTCCCCGATGCTTGACCTTGTGTACCTGGCTGTCTGCGTGGGGGACCCTCGGTACGGTATGAGTGGCCGTAAGTGTGGGTGATCCTAGTTACGAGATGGGTTGTCTGGTAGTTGCTTGCCATATCAGCGCCGATGAGAAAGTCAAACCCTCACGTCACAATCTACCAAGCAAGAACCACACGCAAACATCCACAGCGAGCAGTATGAACATAGAGCTCACGCTTTGAGAAAAAAAAATCTATTCATCATCTGGTTGATATACTTCATCTTTGGACGCTGGCTGGCGCCCCAGCCAACCGCGTACCTCGTCTCCATGTGACAAGCGACCAAACCGTTCGTTGCGTCACCATCTCTATTGTGCAACGCCCTCCTCGTTTCCTGATCCTCGAGCGTGTTGCGGCCCGTCTATCTGCGCCCCGTGTCGCCTTTTTCAAAACACAATGAAGATCCGACCCTCCCAGTCCCAGTCCCATGTCGTGCCGCCGTTTTGTTTCCCACCTCTCCCTACCGACTGTTGAGTCAATTGCCAAGCTGGCAAATGGTACCTTTCCTCTATGCTCGCGTCCTACTGGGACTGCGATCCCTTCGAGGTTTTGCTAGAGACTTGGCTGTGGCTGTGTCGTACCCGATTACGTGCATGAGGTATGCCATCCTGTGGTGAATGAGCATGATGCACGTCGTCTCAGTGGGCCAAATAAAAGAGAAACTCACTTTTCGTTATTCTCCTCCCTCGCCCGGAGGTCTTCGAAACGAACCTGACAGTCCATCCATGCAACGGCCCGATCTCTAGGATCAATCCGCTTTACGGTGAATCTGAAACGTCCAGTCACAGGCCGATGATCTGATACGCGAACCTCATGACGCACGTAGTCAAGCTGCTTGATGCGCCCTCGGCCACGGTACAGCAATCGGTCGCACCAAGCAGGTGAACGGCGCTTCTCGCTCGTGTCGTAATCGTCCGTGCCGACATCATACTTGTACGTCGGGGCAAATTTGATCGGCAGCTCCTCGAAAGCTCGAAGACGGAAGCCAGGGTTA